CAACTTCCGGTCTAGAAGATCCTCTTTAAACATTCGTAAGTGTACACAATGGTTAACAAACAAACTCGTGTCGCGTTCGAGTAACGACCGAGGCAGGTACAAAATAGAAACGAGGGAATAAAGTAAACGCGCGATGGCGACATATATATATATATATATATATATATATATATATATATATATGATAACAAATAGGATGGTGATTAACAAATTATTTTATTAAATTATTTTATTATTTTGTTAACGAGGATCGAGCACAAATGTGAAGCTATACATGCGCATTGCAACTCGGGTCGATCCGTTTGACCCTCCGTTACACGCGCATGCATTACAGAAGAATGCACGTGTGTACATTAATTATGTGTCCGAGCCGCGTGTTCTCTTCTTCTCACTATCTCTCTCTCTCTCTCTCTCTCTCTTTCTTTCTCTCTGTGTCTCTCTCTCTTTTTCTCTCTTTGTTCTATGCCCAGGAAGCTTCGTATCGAATTTATCAAAAACATGACGGGAAGCCCGTGGGATGATAGAGAAGAGGAGAAAGTGAACGCAGTTTAACGCGGTAAAGCTCTCGTACGTCTATGATGTTGTATGTCTTGTCTCAGTACGTTTAGAAATCTTGTTTACTCCCACGAATTTCGTGCCTAGTAGATTAATCGGCAGGTATTATAAGAGAAGGGCGAGAGAGCGAGAAAAGAGGCCGCTCACGCGCGCTTGTCTCCAAGCGTCGTATTTATAAATCCGTATAACACACTCTGCCTCTTTCTCTGTCTCTCTCTTTTTTTCTTTCTCGAGACATCGATTTTGCGTATTATCGTGGCGCCATGTTGCTCACTATTACAAATCAGCAGGTTTGCTACGAAGCACGATTGTGTGCGTGAAAGTGAAGTACGAATATACTTATTATTAGTGCAAATACGAAGTATGACTTAAAAGAATGTAAGACTTTAACCCTCGCAATTGACCTAACTACGCGCAAAGGAATGGCGTAACTCGCGTAAATGCATGACAAAATAACGACTATGTCATCATACTTCGCATTGAATCACTTGAAAGTGAATAGATAATGTATTGAGTTTAATGAAAATCGTTAAACTATGTAATTTAACGGTAAAGTAATTTTTATATTTTTTCTAAATAATTACATAAGTACGAATTATAATAATGATTATAACAGAATCTATTTTATATCGTTATTATTTTATGTCATTATTATTGATTGTGACGCTGATGACAATAACGCAACATCAATTAATGCGAAGAATACAATTTTGCTCGAAGTACACAATACAGAATGTATAATACAAAAGAAAAAGAGCTCAGCTCGGTTCTAGAAAACCTTGTTTGTTTGCGCACGCAATTTGCGTATAGAAAATTTAACTTACTATTATTATCGTGAGTAATAATAGCAATACAGCTGAACTGCAGCTGTTCGTCGATGTACAGAGAAACACGCATTTTGAAATAAGACTGTTGCACACTGCAGTTTTCTCGTATAAATTACATTGTCAAAATTGTATTCATCTACAGAACTACAGAAAAAAGCTGTTTATGTATCAATTAAAATGTCCGTGTGCGCAAAATATTAATCTAATTTATATCCTTGAAATTTTTTAATACCGTATCGATCATCCGTGTATTCATTACACGCGTGATTGATAACGGCTGTCGTTTTGATGCGAAAATCTAGTATATTTTGACTGACACGCCGACACAGAAAGGAAAGTAATTAATTACGCTGAATGACAGCGGGTGAATGAAATTGGAAGGTGAATCAGAGCTTAAATAAAATTCTCGGAGACTCAGTGTTCGTATTAATTTTCTTGTTATATCCACAAAACGTACGAAATTTTAAATCGCATAATTCCGGAGGATAATTTTAATGTACATCTTAGAAAATTTAACTTTTTTATTTATTTGTATGTAAATTTGTTTTCTTTCTAATGTTTATTTCTTTCCTATCTATATCTGTTAAAAAAAAGTTGGATTTTAAAACAATTTGTCTATTTGTTTTATAACAAATATCACATTAATTCTTTTTTCATGTACGCACACAAAATTATCAAAAATGTATGACGCGACCGGATAATACGTCACGAGACAACGCCACGGGATCTCCGTGGAGACCTACGGGTTTAGGTTTCTACGCGAATGCGTTTGTATCGTGCGCGTGTGCCTCTTGATGTGTGCGCGCGTATAAGTATGCATGTCGTTGTGTTCGTGTATTGCACAGACCGCTTTATTGATCACGTCGCACGCACGAGTATGCACGCACAAAATATACCTACTGTCGTGTCGCGCAACCATTCAACCTCTAAAAGTTCCGTGATTTCTATGGCTCCGCGAAGTTCTATGATTTCACGTATCTATCGATACCTCATATTCTGTAGAAGAAAGTCATGTAGGCGTGTACACACACAATTGCAGCAGCACTAATAAATACAGAGCGTTAAAACTGCTAATAAAAGATAATACAATTTTACAAATATTACTTAAAATAATAACAAACGCGTTTTATATATTCACAAATTCAAAAGATAAACTTCACTGTAAAATTTATACAGATAATATTTCACAAATTGATATTCAATGTCTAAACGAACATTAGACGCAAATAGTCAAAAGTATATAAAAGACAAAGTATATGGAAGACAAAAGTATATAAAAAAAAAAAAATAAATAAAAAGTTTCAGACTACTCATGGGGAAGTTTTAGATTACTCATGAAAATAAAATTTAGACCAAAACCAACTGTAGAATTATTTTATTTATAGAAATTTCTTAGTGTGTTATAATATAGTGTAATTGCCGCTGATAATGACAGAAATAGTAATAAAGTAGAAATAGTAATAGATATTTCGTAAACAAAATAGCAATTAAATGATAAAGTTATTGAAGAGTCGTGAACATAGCCGGAAATTGCAACACGCATATGCAACGCGTATTTTGCTCGATAAACAAGAACGATTACTTAATGTGCAAATCTCGATCATAGACTATAAAATTGCGATGACAAATCAAAAACAAGAAAAATTGTAGCCACATCATGTTTGTAATCGTTTAATACACGATGTATCATTGCCAGTTACCAATACACAGATAAAAATTATCAAAGTGTCGTATGCTGTATTTCTGTAAATGCTCAAAATTATATGTAAAACATATACGATTTTATCATACTGCTATCCGATTATTTGCAAACAATTTTTTTCCAACAGCACTTCAAGAAAATTATAAAATATTTTCTTCGAGTGTTGTTAAAATACTCGATATTTATTTCAAGAAATGTTTTAAAAGTTTGACTTAAAAAATCACTAAAATAATGTAAAGAACGTTATATCGACCTCACGTTTTTGTTTTGTTGAAGAAATTTAAGATAAAACAAATGTACAAGATAAGCATTTCGTAAAACAAGTATTGACTATAATTTTATTGCCATTAAATTATACTTAACAATTAATTTTGTTTTGAATAATATAAAACCAGATAAGTAGAATGTGTTTTATAAATTTCTTGCATTGAAATCTTTGTAAGAACCGAAAAATGTATCGCAAGTAATTTTTCAAAATAGATCTCATATCAGAATATAAGTCAATTTTTTTTTGTGTGTCCTAGACCCTACAAATAAAAAATGTTTAACAATAACAATCTGATAAGACCTAATATATTTTGTACGCAATACGATATGAGAGAACATTCTTTGAAAAATTGTTGTGATAAACATATACATTAATTTAAGTAAACATACTATTACTAAGGTCGGTCCTATATCCCCTCCCTTTTTTCTCTTATCTACAGCTGATCTGTCAATAGTAGAGAGCAATATGAAGATAATAAAAAAAAAAGTCTACAGGAGACATATTCTAATTTACAAGAAAAGCATGCGTAGTTTTCTCTATGAATAAAAAACCTTGTGTGTCTAAAATGTATCTCGTTTGCACGTAGGCGCGCAAAAACTTCGTTCTGTTTTTCTTTTGTTGCGTTTAGTTTCATTAAATTTAATTTCATAATGTGTGATTATGACAATTGTGAAATCTAGATTATTTTTTTTATTTTTTGAGAAACAAGTACGCAAAAAAACTTTTTTAGCGTAGCTTCTAAAATAAAAATTTTGCTGTTTTCAGTATCAACACTGATTTTCTATGCAAGGTGCTCGCAATGACCGCGTAAAGAAAAAAACTCGCTGTAACGCGCGAGAATCGCGACGTAGTTTAGGAATCTGTGTTGTTTTCGCGCGCTCGCGCCACTCCGCAACCGCAAACAAAAATACGTAAGTATTCCATTATAAAAGCTCGCACGTTGAAGCAACGAGCAGGACGACGCAATTAATGGCGTGGGCCGTGGTCGATCGTGCAATTAACTTTAACGAACGGGCGGCCTTGCGATTAAACTTAATTAGTATCGCGGTAATAACTCGTTAATAATCAGAGCCGTGTAGAAGAGTGTGGTTCTGTTACGTGCATGTGCACAAGCACGCAGCACCATTCTCTTTACAACGTGTATTGTGTGTGCGAATTGTGCGCGCGTATCTATAACACGGGTTGGTGGTCATATTTATAAGAAGACTATGGCGCGACGTGAGACGAGGAGATGGAGGACAATGCTGTACGATTTTGATGATTACGCTGAGAAGGAACAGCGTATGTTCCCACACTTGGAGTAAAAGTCAATATTTTTATATACACAAAAGATCGAAAAACAATTTAAAAAAAAAATGTATTATCAAAAAATATAAAATGATGAGGCGTTATTGAACTAGTTGCTAGGTGTTGTGCAGATGTATTGAATTTCAAAATAATACAAACGTTTCGACTTTTGTTTTAAGTCTTCATCAGTGTCCTGTGAATTAAAAATGACATATTCGGTAATGATTTGAAATTTATTACATTACTAATAATATAACCTAATACTATTAATAATAAGAACAATATATATTTATAACTATATATTTTGCTCCTTTTTACTCCAATCTGTCACTCGCTCGCATTTAAAACAATAACAGCTTACCTTTGCGTTTTGTTTTATTTGTTCTTCCGTGGAATTGTACCGGAGATAAAAATAACAAAAGGCCTTTCGTTTTTTCTGAAGGTTGAGAGATGAAAATCCAGCAAAAACCGTGTTTATATTCAAGAACTGACACTGTCAAAAAAAAAACTGACGAAGAAGAGTGACCGAACTAAAGACCAACTTCAGTGCGATGAAACTAATGATAAAAACACTTGTGTCTTGCACTCTGTGCAGTGTCACACTGACAATATAATAGTTTCTGTTTCTCTTTTGATGGACCTTTGTGTAATTTCCAGATCAGCGTGTGATGTACAGATGAGGGACACGCGCGCTGAATTTTAGTGTGTGTATACACAGATATCAATGAGAATTCTGAAAAACACACCGCTCTTTATCTCGCATAACAGTCATGTAAGGTAAGTTCTCCGGGGCATCACTGTATGTAGAATGCATGTAAGAAATGTCCCTGCACCTTCCGCACTACCAGCACCTTACGTACGAAGCGACAACCAACGAGCACCGCACCGAATTGTGGACCGATTGCTACGCTTTCGGTAGACATTGCCCCTCTACTCAACATGCTGCTTCCTTATCAACCTACGCTACTTCAAGCTACTCTCTTTCGCTCTCACGTATTTCTTCCCCTCCGCCGCGTCATGCGTAGTTGAGGCATTCCCCACCACCGATTAGGTCTCTCTTCATAGCACCGAATACCGTCTCTCTCCGTAGCACGGCATTTGCTCTCCCACCCGTCGCATTACTCGGGATATCCCCACCAGCGCGTACTAACGCTGTAGCGTATTTAGTATCCTCCACCATCTCGGTGCCCTCGGTGGTAGAAAAGCGGAGAGGAGGAGAAATGGTAGAGAAAACATTGCAACCTTTAGGGATGATGTATGTACGCTAAGATGACGTATGTGTGAGCACGCCGGCGTGAGTTTCAGCGGCGGAATGATTTTCGTGACGTTTTAGCGCGAAAGTCTGTTAACCCAGAGCTGATCTAGTATAAAATCTCTTTGACTTCACGGAGATATAAAACTGAATTTTATCTATGAAAGCTACTGTTTCTCACCGACCGTTATTTACTTTTCATTTTATCATTCCGAGACGGTATTGTTAACAAGCACAAAATAGCTATAATTTCTGCAACACTGTAGTAACATGTTATATGTATGTAATTATTTTTTTTATTATATATTAATAATATTATTTCTAAATTCTCACATTGCTGCGGTTTTTGTTTATACAATGAAGATGTAATTAGCTATTCTCACAATTCTCTAGAAAACTCTTTTGAAAATCAATTAACATACTTGAAAGTTTTGTCATGCGACAAGAATGCAGCAATTCCCGCAGTCCATGAATTTTCTCGAGACAACATGACATATATATCTAGAGTAAAGCCAGAAACGTACAAGAAACGTTAAATAGACGGTAAATAAACGAATTAATCCCAAATTTAGCTCATGCGGTCGGATACTGAAAGACACTCAACATATGAAGCTTACTTCTATATATAGCATAATATTTGTGATTTTTCTTAATGTAAAAATAACTTTATGCAAAACCTTTATTAAAATCTATATAAAAAAATGCATGTGTTCCGCGAAGTGCGCGTTTTGGAGCCGATTGTATTGCATCTATTGTTGCCTCTTTTCCGCGTTGCCGATTGGTTGATTGGTTGAATTAATTTATATTATATTGAAGTAATTTATATTATATATAACATTAAATAATACATATTATACATATAATTTATTATATATTTATAATATTATACTTTATATTATATGTATTATATACATACTACAGTAATGTCACTGACCTCCGCCGCGCGATCTTGGCGGAGTCACTGACCTCGGCCGCGCGGCCTTGGCGGGGTCACTGACCTCGGCCGCGCGGCCTTGGCTGGGTCATTGACCTCGGCCGCGCGGCCTTGACGGGGTCATTGACCTCGGCCGCGCGGCCTTGGCGGGGCACTGACCTCGGCCGCGCGGCCT